AAAAATTTTGTTGTCACCTTCCCCCCCCCCCCCAATATTTACACAGTTACACTAGCACCTTTACAGAAGGACATGGCAAGTATATGCCTATGGAAGAAATGATTGGGCAAGGATATATTTCTCCACAAATACTAATCATACCAAGATATGCTCCCAGGGCCACCAAGAGGGGGGGGGGGGGAAGTTGCCATGGGCCCTAACCTTAATAGGATCCCAACTTGAAAGCAAGTGCCTAAAATTAAGCAGGTTCTTTAAATTGGTCAGAGCATTTTTGGAATTGAGGGCCCCTTACTGTAGCTCTACATAAGGTCTATTTAGGTGACTGACTTGGGTCTGGCGTAAAAATAATGATGTCTTGGGACCCCCAGAGAAGATTTGCCTCGGGAGGCCCTGGATGATCCGGATAGGCCTTCAAATATATTGGTGGCCAATGCAGAACCTTCTAATTGGCAAAATAATAAGCACCATGTATGTGTGCATATCCAAGGCATACATTTTGCATTATCCCTGGGGAAGTAAGATCTACTTCCTACAGTATTATAGGATTTTCAAGACAACTTAAGAATGGAGAACATCTAATTAACACTCTTGGAGAAATTACCAGAGATAATGTCTTGAATTGTACAAGCCTTATTTAATTTAGGTTGATTTTAATGATTTAATATATAACATGGCTCACTGTATTCTTGCACATACTTTGAAAAAGCATATCAAAGAGAATTAAATTTTGTAATATAAACCAGACTTCATAGTATGGAGTGGGTCTTGGGCCCTGCTGGACATCCATGCTGCCCCATACCAAGTAGCCCAATCACAGAAAATTGATATAATTTATTCAGTACAGTGGTATTTACAGCTTACAAGCAATTTTTATTAATGCTCACTTTTATTGAATTATACTGTCTGTATATTCCTTGAGATATGTGCAGAATCTGAATTTTGTACAAAACATTTTGGGACTTATACCCCACACAACATTAAGGGAAGGGCCACTAACTCAGTGAAAAACAATAGGGGGAGCAGGGGGGGGATGGAGGGGTCATACAATGTTCACCTTGTCCATGGCCCATAAGATTGGGGGGTCTTTGCTTTTGTCAGAGTCTTGTGGGGGAAAGGGTTGTTAAAATAAACAAAAGAAAAATTGTGGCACCTCTTTTCAAATAAACATTTCTGCTGAATGGGAAACTTTTGTCACAAGTATTGGATTGGGTAAAATTCAAAACAAACATTCTAGCCCTTAATTATACTGTGTATGTTGGAAATGTATTTTCTTCACAGTCAGACATTCACATAAATTAAGATTAGAATTTATCACATGTATCATGTCTAATAATATTATATATCTGAGGGGGAGGGGCATATACTTTTAAATATTTGAGTGCGGGGGAAGTTCATTATTATGAGCATCATAAAGGGGGGACCCATGATATCCATATGATAAATGGATCTCCCACCCTAAGGTATAAAGAATGAATGGTCCCTAACCTATATATAGCATGAAATTTAAGATTAACTAAGATTACTAGCAACAAAAGGTGGTAATATGCAGGGGCGCCGTTAGCCCTGTTTTAATGAAGGGGTGTAAGTGCAATTTTGCCGACTCATCTCAAACACTAATTAATATTTCTTTTCCCAAAAATGTTGGCGAGCCGGGGTAGGAGGGGTTCACGAAAAAAAAATTTTACAGCCATTATTTTTTTCTTTTCCTTTCTCATTAACCAACCGTCATTCGGTAATCTTTCCTTTATTTTTTCGTAAATTTTCCAATTTTTTTGCTCTAAATATTAGCTTTTAATTAATCAGTGTAACTCATATAATTTAATTTTTTCCTTCCTATCCAGTTCCATTTTTGCCAACTACAAAAACAATTTCCTGACTGCGACTCAATAATTTGCAGAATGTATGGCGATTGGGGGTGTTATCCCTCCCCCACACCCCCTCTAGAGATGCCCCTGGTAAATGTTGCCCCCCCCAAAAAAAAAAAATGGACCAGCATGCTCTATATGTGGTACTAATTACTAAATGATATATGACCCACAATGTGTCTTCATGTCATGCTATCAAGTGATTATCACTTGCCCATCTTTTAGTGAGAGGATCATAATAGAGAGGGGGGAGCAATTCCCAAATGTTGGCCAGTGGTTTATTGTTTATTCTTCAGACATGGTATCAGTGCTGTTGTGTTGGAGTTGACAAACATCAAATGTGATTTGTGCTGTCATTATTTTCTTTGTAGTTCTATTAAAATTTCCCTTAATGTTCAAAAATTCTATTATTTGCCATTTGGTATTATTGCTCTTAGACCATACAGGCAGCTCAGCAAATGATTTATTGTGAAACAACCTCATTAGGTTGTACATATATTGATAAAACAGTGAAACCAAAATTAAAAATTGTCTCTGGGTGGAAGGAAAAATGTGTACAATTCACTGACATTAAACCATAGAGAGGGGAATTTTATTAATTATAAGCATAGGACTAGAATTACAGGGGAGGATTATTTAAGACTTGAGCTTATATACAAGGCCGTCGGAATCAAGGGGGGTGGGTTGAGCCCCCCAATAATTTCCATTTGTATGAGCAAAACTCATACAAGAACTAGAAAAGTGCGAAAGCAATTCAGATTTATGCTTGAGCCAAAATATTGATTTACTTCTGACGGCCTTGTATATATATAAACCTTAATACTTTCATAGTTTCATAGAGGATTTATAGTATGATAGAGGAGGATTTATGGTATGATAGAGGTTTTTAGTTAAGCAACATGCTATATTTGAAGCTTTAACTATATTTTCCAAAGGAATTCCCACGAGTATTTAAACACCAGACATTTGTTAAATACTTGTGTGCATGCAGCACATGACTCAACCTCGTACCCAGGATCTTTCTTTGGGAAAGACCCTGGCTGCGGCTGGTCACGTGCCTCATCAAAAATTTAGCGCCTGAGGGAGTGTGGGGAAAGTATCAAATTACATAAACATGCTTCCAGTGGAACATTCGTTAAAAACATAAATTTTGCGAATTATTACGTTCAAAATACTTGCTAATTTTTGTTTATTTTCTTTGCTTTGAATTTACAAGAACATTCTTACTTACAGTTAAGTCAAGAAACAAAGCAAATCGTTACTCGCAGTACGTGCTTTCTCGCGTTGTTATTCAATGCATGCTCTCTTCACAATCGAGCGCGGTTATAACAAACCTTTTAATATTGTAATGTTTTTAAAATACGCCATTACATTCGACCGTCCTTTCTTGTAAACGTTGATACGCTTTGTACCGATTCACTTGTTACTACGCGTCTTGTTTATAAGATTTTTAAAAGAAACAGTATTGTCTAGGACTGACCCAATATTAGCAAATGTAAACATTTGATAATAGCCGAACGGAGAAATGTCTATAAAGTATAGAGGAAATTTCAGTCATTGGTTTATCTGGATTTAGTACATAATTCGTTTTCGGTAATTATAGTAATACTTTAGCCTTTTTTGTTCTCTATTAATCATTATATTGTGTTAACATACTATAATCTATATCACAAATTTACAGTGTCAGATGCGCACAGACCGCGTCATTGGCATCATACGAATAGACATAAATTTTCGAGTTTTCTAACATTTTTAAAGTTTTTTATTGTGAATCACCTGTTTATCTCTAATTCATTAATCATTTTAGTACTTATATTTATTTGATAGTGTCATATAGTGAATAATGCGTTTACACACAAGCAATCCTGGATATGATATAGACGATGCAAGCTGTCCATTAAAAAATAACGGTATTCTATTTCACAAAGTCAAAGCAAAAATTTAAATCTCACTTGTATTATTAAGAATGCATATACAGGAAAAAAATAAAGCTTATTCATGTCAAAACGAAAGCTGTTTACAAAATTTATAAAGGTGGTGAACACTACTAAAAATAGTGCTCATTGAAAGACATGTATAATATAGTGACATATAATTTGTCGTTTGACTTATCTTTGGTGTATGATTTTAATACCGTAGATTTTCAACAGACAGCTATACTTTGACATATACCATGATCGTTGGTTTCAGCAATGCCAAGGGCCAATTTTATAGTGTTTTGACAAGTTTTTTTGATAAGGCCTTTATATAGATCAACAATCTGGATACAGTTGGCGATATTTCGGAAATCAAAAGATCTCGCTATTTCGTTGCAATTCCACATCTTATCAATAAATAAATTCTTTTGATCCGAGTATCAGGATAGACATTAATACTAAATAAATAACAACCACACTGTTCGGTCTAGAGATCGATATTTTCTTGTAGGTTTAATATCGCCATTCGCCACGCTGCACAAGCGGCAAGCGTGCTTTCTTTGGCAAATCTGTAAGTTGAATATTGAAATCTGATCCAACTTGCTTGAATTGTAACTCGACACCAGATTATAGAATAGAGCGTCACGATATAAATATTAATTTAGGAGTTCTCTTTACGATTTCTTGTTGCAAATTTACAGTAAATTTCATCACCCAAAGTTGCAATTTTAAAACGCCACAAACACGCTCCTTTCCCACCCCTCCCACAGTTACAATTAAATTTACCTCCCAGAATCTGGGAGGCACGTGACCAGCCGCAGCCAGGGTCTCTCCCAGATGACAGAAGGAGAGACCCTGGGAACGAGGTTGATCTTGAGCGTGTTTCGATGAGTTTCAATCTTTTCCATGACGTCAATATTATTAGCTTGTTTTCAACTAGTATTCATCGATTCCCTTCGCTGTTTGTGGTTTTGTCGGTTTTGAGCTGAAAACAGAACTACATTTCCAAAAGCTCTGTCTTTCACATGACAGCATTTGCGACATTTGGTTTGCAGATTTAGGCTGTTCATGTTCAATATATTTTCCATTTTCTTTTCTGTTTAGCTCCGCCATTTTGAAATATCTCGTGTTTTTTGTACCAGTGCTTTCAAGCAGATAAGGGACCGGTCATAAAGTAATTACTAGAGGGGGCTGTATACCTAATATATGGTTAAATTCATATATTTAGGTTCATTCGGCGAATCAAAGATTCTGGCTAATCAACCTGTCGAATTGGATAATAAACTAGCAGAATGGTTGCCAAGAACAGGAACATGGAGACTATGTTGGCGAGGCACCAAACATGGTTGGGCAGCTCCGACATTTCACGAGAAATGCAACGAGAAAAAACCAAGTTTAGTGATCGTTAAAGTTGTGACGGGTGGTAAAAATTTGATCTTTGGTGGCTATTGTACCGAAACATGGGCTGGAAGTAAGTTTTAATATATTGTCATATACATTATTTTTAATTTATTATTATCACATAACAATATATTCGTTATTCTTATTCTTATTCTTATTCTTATTGTGACTACGAATTAAAGTAAGATATTGTCTTTTAGTTTTCAAATTAAACTTGTTGATCAGCTCGAAATGGGATGGGTGGAATGATATTTTCGCGTTTTCAGTCTTAAGGTGGCTCCCTACAGTTGTAAAGGATGGGACCGGTAACGAAAAAAAAAATTCGCGCATTGCGGGACAGATTCGCGCGGTGCGAGGAAATGTCGCGCGAGCAGGAACAGCGCATGATTTTTAAATGCCGATAGATACAAATTTAAAAACAAATATGGCAGCGTGTTTTTAAAATCGATCTTTGACGGGAAAATTTGACAAAATACAAAAAAGAAATCGAGGGAATATTGTAAAATTACAAGAGGGGCTTCAAGCTTGGAAAAATAAAAATATTTCAATCCAGGTTGAGGAAAACGTAAACGAAAACGAAGAGTTTGTTTGAACCAGCGATGGACATCGTGATAAATTCAAGGGAAAGCACGGTAGGCACCGTAAACACCGAGACGTTTTTATCATTGTAAACATTTAGGTCTGTTTTAAAAATTATAATTCACGTACTCCATGATTTGGCATTAGGCAAAACAAGAAATAAAAGAGAATTTACCTCAAGGAAGACAAATTGTTGATATAAACCAACTGAGAAAAGGATTGGAGAGTTGTTAATTTTGCAAAGAAGGTAAACAAAGGCATATGTGAAGCATTTAGTGTCTCCACTTCAAATACAGAATTATTTCGATTCAAAATTTTGATATAATTTGGTCACTACATAGTTATAAAATAAAGTACTGTTTTTAAAATGTACAAATGTCAGTTGATTAAATTTGTATAAATATTATAACTATGAATTGATGTAAACGTTTGAAATAAACAATAAAACAATGGCAATACTCTATTATTTTTAAGGACCACTGTCATTGAGCTATATACAACAAGAGAAGTTATATGGTCTAGCTATCAAGCTACATATTCAATGTCAGTTTTGTGATCAAACCAATGTTGTTGAAACATCACTCGCCCACAAGTCTGGAGCCTCTGGTCCAATGGCATATGACATCAATACAAAATCAGTTTTAGCAAGTCTTCATACCGGAATTAGTGAGACGCATTTGAATGGCATCTTGTCAGTTACGAACGTCCCAACCATGACCCGTGCTTTATTCAAGACCTGTGAGCGAGAAGCTGGTAAATCAGTTGAAACAGTTGCAGGGCACACATGTGTTGAAACTATAGAAATAGAGAAAGAAAATGCAATTAAAATTGGTGAAACACCAGATGAGAATAATCTTGTTCCAATTTCATGCTCGTATGACATGGGTTGGCAGAAACGAGGCAAAGGTTTCAATTCAGACACAGGACAAGGAGCTGTGATGGGCTTACACACTGGAAAAATAATGGACTACACAACAAAGACAAAGACATGCAGAGTTTGTGATCATGCCAAAAAATTGAAATCTACTCCCGTAAACATGACTGCCGAAGAAATCATAGAGATTCATCAAAAGCTATGGAGCCTACATCTGCTGTTCAGCTGTTTAGTAGCAGAACAAAACACAATGCTAAGTACTCAACTTAAACTGGGGATGATGACTCAACAACTGAAATTTTTACACATGCACAAGTACCATAAGGAGTTGAGAAATTTAGTGACATAATTCATATAAAAAGATCGTTAACTAGTAGACTACATAATCTGTCCAAAATGAAAAGATTTCCCAATTGTTCATCATTGTCAACAAAAGTAATCGACTATCTCGCGAAATGCATTTCAGTTGCTGTAAACCAAACAAGGGTGACCCAAAATCAATGCAAGCATCATTAAAATGCATAGTAACTCATGCGTTTGGAATCCACACTGACTGCAGTGAGTAGTGGTGTCGATGGAAAGAGGAGCCAGCTATGTACAAGCATGCATATCTACCATACGGGAAAGACCTGCATGGCGAGGAATTGAAACAAGCGCTGAACGATATTTCATTCAATATAACTCTGACACCATGGTTAAAAAGCTTCCTCCAATCGCTAGCTCTCAGAAAAATGAGTCTTTTAACAGCACGGTTGGTTCAAAGAATCCCAAGATCAGATTCTACGGTGGGAGTGAAAGCAATGATTTTCGCGTGGCATGCGCAGTGAAACAAACCATTGATGGGTATGAGTACATTTGTAGAACACTGAATTCATTGGGGATTGAACCTGGTACTAACTGTGAGGCATATGTTGATGGAATGAAGAGGAAAAGAGATGGCGACAACACGAGAAAGAAATCCTTGAAGTTCAAGAAGCGAAGGAATGAACGTCATACCAAGCGAATACATAGTATTCTATCAAGTGAAAAGAAGGAGGGCAACAGTGCCTAATTTTAAACTATAAATCTGGGTGGGCAATTGCCCCCCCCCCCCGGAAAGAATTTGCTCCCCGCAGTAAAGCCATTTCTGCCCCCCAAGAGCGAAGCAGAATTTCTCATGATTGCTGTCAAAATTGCAGTTGATTTACTTGAAAGTGAGATTATATGCCGTTCCGTAGCCTCCTCCACAGCCATCTTGTGTGTAATTCATATTGTTCTCCACCGAGTATTTTATAATAGCGATAGATTTCATGCAAACAATCCGATAAAATGCTAGCCTTTCCAAGCCTTGCGACTATTTCCTAGCACTCTCCTCCGCAGAGGCGTTGTGTTTTGTTTTGGGAGGTTTTATTGCAAAATTTGTTTCTTAAAAATATCAAGTTATATTAAGAGCCCCCCCCCCCCCAATCGCCACAAAAACCATTCTCTCAGGAACGCTAAATCCGTAGAGAAATTTGGGAGGGGCGGGGGTACACGTTACATACTCGAAGCTGAAACTGATTAAGTACATCTCGACTGAGGAAAAAGACGATATACTGGAGGAACTTGATTTGTGAAATCTCGTTAAAGCAGTTGTAGATATGGTTCCAAGAGGAATAAATTTCGTTTCGATTTTTAACTGTTAAATACATGTATGCATCATCATACCATGAATATTTCTTCGCAGACTTATTCTGTATCGTATGAAAAAGCAACGCAATTTTGAGATTGCGGAAATGGTGTCTCATAGAACCTAAAATGATTTAAATGATGATGATGATGATGATGATGATTTTATTGATCCATCTTTAGTTTAAAAATACAATGGATTTACAAATATGTCTATTAAAAGAGAAGAGCATAACTAACCATGCAATAATATTTACAAACTATCTAAAATTTATATATATACAATTTGGAGTAAAAAATTTAAAAGTCTAGGAAATTATTTAAAAAGTTAATAAAAACCAAGTTTGGTTTTAGTGCAACCCCTGTCTCATTGCTCGTGGGACAAAACTATTTCTGTGTCGTTCAGTGCCTGAGAAAGGTGCGTATTTAAATATACCGTCTCTACGCCTAAGATTATAGTTATGTTTATTATGTTCCATAGTTCGTTGATAAAAGATATGACTTGGATCACCTAAGATGTTAACGAGTTCCCTCGATGTGGCTTCGTAGACTCCTTCTTTGCACACGTTCCAATTCGTCCTTTAGATATCGTGGCAGACCACCCCACACTGGAGAACAATATTCAAGGATAGGCCTGATTTTAGTTAAATAAGTGGTAAGACCCACTTCGACTGGTAGATTCGCTCTTCTACATTCTCGTAGGCAGTACAGGTTTTTAGCTGCTTTGCGGGTGGTCTCCTCGACATGTTTATTCCATTTCAGGTCCTTTTGAAACCAGGTTCCCAAGAGTTTAAAATTATCGACTCTTTCTATGATAGCATCTCCTATATGCAGTGGTAGAGGGGGCGGTGCTTCGGTGAAGTTAATCCACATATCTTTTGTCTTTTTGGCATTCAGTTCCATTTTATTTTCCACAGCCCAACTTTGTACTGAGTCCAGAGCGCTTTGCAAATCGCTAGATTCTCCTAATCTTATGGACGTATCCATGGTGCAATCGTCCGCATATTTGATTGTGTTGACACATGCCTGTTCAGAAACATTTTCCTCCATATCGTTAATATGTATGTTGAATAGGGTCGGCGAGATAGCAGATCCCTGAGGGACGCCGGCTGGGCATGATGCAGTAAAGGAGTACACCTTGGAGATTTACCTGTTGTGTTCTTCCCTCCAGAAAACTCATTATCCATAACCAGAAACTCCTTGTTACATTCATATCAGCAAGCTTGTCCAGAAGGATCTTATGGTCGACCAAGTCAAACGCCTTCCGGAAATCAACAAATAGGGCGTGGACACCTTGTCTACCGGTTGAGGAGTTGTCCGTTGAGTCGAACCAGTTCTGAGATATGGAGGTAAGGGCAGACACGGTGGAGTGACCGCTCGTAAAGGCGTGCTGGTTTGTTTTGATCTTGAAACTGGATTTATTGAGTTGCAGCTGTAGCTTCTCGATAACTTTTGCTAGTTGTGGTAGCACGGAAACTTGGCGGAAGTCATTATCTAGGTCTGTGGGTGGACGGATCTTTGGTATGGGACTAATGATTGCATGCTTGTAGGAGGTGGGATATTTGCATTGAACTATGCTTGCAACCACAATATCGTGGACCACTGGTGCTAATTCGTCTGCGTACCGTTTAAGACACCATGCAGGGATATTATCCGACCCAGTGGCTTTCCTAGGATTTAGGTGTTTTAGGACGGTTTTGACTTGGCCAATGGATGGTAGAGGTGGGTGGCTGTCCTTGAGCAAATGCTCTACCGCTTGAAGTCTGGGAAGATCTGGTTGAATTCCTAGCCAAGGCTTAGTAAAACTTCTTTGTAGTCTGTCAGCGATTTCCATTAGGTCAGCGTGGTCAGGCGAGGACAGAGATTGTTGATTTTTGGTTGCTGCCGCTAGCTTGTAAATCGTTTTATACCATTTGGCGGGATTGGATTGATGGTTGCCTTCAGCCTTGGATTTGTAGTACGTAGCTTTAGCGTTGGATATCAGCTTGGTAACTTTTGCATGTAAACTTTTATACTTCGGTGTCTCCCCTTTCGTAAATGCTCTCTGTCTTGCTTTTATCAACGCTTTAATATTGGGGGTCATCCACGGTTTGTCCGTGCAGTGTGCGCGAACTGTTCTCACGGGTAAGGCTTCATCAAGCATACAGATAACGATATAGTTAAAGACTGAGACCTTGTCGTCCACATCCAATTCGGAATAGTCTTCAAGATTCATTTTCAGTCCCAGGACGTTTAAGTTCTTTAGTTTCATTTGTCGATATTTCTTTGAAACTGGGGGCATCTTCTGTCTTGTTTTGGGTGGTAAGATCAAACATTGGTGATCGGAACGTCCGATGGGTGGAATGTGAAGAACTTCGTCATACAAATCCAACATATTGGTAAGTATCTGGTCCAAAATGTTTTTTCCTCTCGTGGGCGACTTGACCTGTTTGCGCAGATTGAAACGGCGACTCAAAGGGTTCAAGTCCAACTTGTTGAAGTCCCCAGTTACAAATATGCCGGCAGAAGGGCGCTCAGCTAAAGCAATGTCCATCTTTTGAGTCAGGTAGTCCAACATCTCATGTTTATTCTCTTTACTTTGACCTGAAGGGTGGTATACGCCTACTACAATGACGGAACTGTAGGGTCTCGGTGTTCTGGGTGGTTTTAATAATAGCCAGAGTGCTTCTTTTCCTTCCTCTTCTAGTTCAGGAAGGCGTTTAGCAGGTAGGTCAGATTTAATGTATGCCAAAATACCACCACCTGGCGTAGGTCTATCGAGTCGATATGAATTGTAAGTATTTCCTATGTTAATAATAGAATCCGGAATATCAGACGATAACCAGGATTCTGTAACCAAAATTACTGAGGGATTGTTTATCGCAACCACTGCAGACAGTTCGTCCACCTTGTTAGCTATGTGGCAGGCATTGGTAACAAAGAGAGATGGAACAGCGCAGTAGTCTCGGTGATTTTCCTGGTTACTAGTAGTTACAGGGACATTTACCAGGTTGCATGGATTACTAGTTCGTTTACGTATATTATTGTAACTTGCAATGCGATGACTTATGGTCCGACATTGTGACATAACAATAGGAATTACTTTGTTGTTCGTAGGCGAATTGGATGCCGAGTCACACGAGGATGTAACGTTTTCCGAACAAATTCGAGGTACCTCTGCCAGTCCCGGGGACGGTGGTGGGGTCCCTCCCATCCCAGCATCACAGAGAGGAAATAAAGTGACACTGACCCTTCCTCCTATTTTTCAAGTTGACTTTTCCAATTTATTTAATTCTGAGTAGAAATGTCTGGAAAAATTCATGTCATCCATGTACTTTATAATGTTCGGAATTCTGCTAGATTTCATTTTTCGTTCTGCCTTTTTTTCCTGTCCCCCCCCCCCCAGTGAAAAGTCCTTAAAAAGGCACTGGAGGGAAAGACGCACATTACCCAAAGCTACCAGTACCTGTACCACTGCAAATGAACAACTATTTTGCCCTGACCTACCAGCTGATACACTGAGCAGCAGGCGCGGATCCAGCCTAAAACCCTGACCGTGGCGCACTCCAAAACCGCGCATAATTAGGGAGGTCCGGGGGCATTTCCCCCTGGAAAATTTTTGAAATTTGAACGCCGGAAATGTCATTTCCTGAGTTCTGGGCATCGACTTCTATCATATCATTCGTCATTAATTACGTCATATTTTAGACAGCAAATAACGAAACGCACTAAATAAGTCAAATATTTAAACAACATACCATGTTCTTCAGTGAACGTTAAAACATTAGAATGTTACAAAATCACCGTATTTACATAAAACCACGACTCTGTACCGTCAACAAAGGCTGCGCACGTACTGTTCCTGTGTATTTCAGGTTCTTTGTAGCAAAAAATATCCATTTAGGGCTGTACATCGAACTCAATCATCTTGACGTTTCAGTTGCAACGTAGATCTTTTACGGGGTGGGTTTTTTTTTAGCTGCACATCGGTAGCAAATGTCTTATTCTCGATCATTCGCTTAAACTGTGTAGCACGGAGAGCTGTCGACTGCCGCTGCATGCACATTGGATTTTTCACAATGCTGACATAGTTTCTGGACAGCAGAAGCACTTGAAGGAAGAGCACTGGTCATCAATCGTTGGAGCTTGCTTGCATTATGCGTGTTTTCACCGCCAAAAAGAATACAAGTGACGCAAAAACCACCGTTTGCCACCGCAGAGTAAGCCAACCATGGAAATCGTGATAACCATGCCAACCGGAAACGTCTACCAATATTTTCGTGTGGAGGAAAAGAAAAATCAGAACCAGGTTTCCAATGATTGCACAGAATTTCGTACTTTTCCGAATCAGGAAGACTGGACACCAGATTTACGTAGTTGTAGATATCATCTGGCCACGAATTGGTAGAAGTTCGTTGTGTTTTGGTGTTAGATTTTTCTGAAGTAGGACCAGTGTTGGGAGTTACAGATGAAATTCCTTTACTAGTGCTGGGAAATTTGATTTCACTGTCTACAGTTTCTTGTGTGTTGTATGCTTGTTTCACAAGAAGCGCACCGATCTAAGCTAATTTGTTTTCTTTTTGTACCAGTCGTCTGCTTTTTAGTAGATGTAGTCACTTGTGTAGAGGAAGGAGCAGAAGAAACTTTAGTATTAAATAGAAACTTTAGTATGAACTGTAGGAGGAACTTTAGGATGAACTGGCATGGCAGACTTCAATAAGGTTGGAAGGTGTGCTTTAAAATAATGGGCTCGTGGCTGAAGCGCTTTAACTGGTTTGCACAAGGTAACAAAATTATTTTTGGTAGATGGAATTCTTCGATCAACCAAATAAGACGGTGGCATCGCAGCACAACGAAAGATATGGACATATTCAATTGCACTGCCATCAAGATAATCATGTGGATATATTGTACAATTGAATCCAAGGAATCACAATTTTCTTTCACTACAGTATCATTAGTGAGTGGGTAGAATGACTGAATGGCACACTGAATTACTGTGGACAAGGCAAACATGTACACCATGGATGAGAATGTGTAATTTTTTGCAGTTTCCTTTGCTTCTTCTAAAACTGCTGCAATTTCATTACAATTCTCGAAAATAGTAAGTGCTGCATCAGATACACACATGGCAAAGGCATTTTTAAGTGAAGTGAATGCTACGTTTTTATGCTGCGACTCAATGAGGGGATGGTTATAGCATAGTATTTGGCATTCTCAAACAGTTCAATACTGGTGAGGCATGTCAAACGAGCAGACAAACTCTCATTCCCGATTAACGCAATAGAACATGCATTAAAGAGACAATTCCCATTAGCCGAAGTACTGAAAGAAAATCAGATTTAAGTATCAATGGTTATTTTATATTATTTTGTGAATATTCTATTGAAACTTTTAACCAGAATGACAACTTCTTTGTACCACACAGTAATTATGTGATTATACTTCGCAAACTTCACTCAAAATATCTGGAGAACAAATGTTATGCCTTGCCATTTGAGAAATAGCAAGGAACCATTTGTTTTTTTCAAATGTTTTCCCTCCTTTTGCTGGCCTTGTATAACTCATGGGAATTTGTTGCAGTTAGGATTAGGATCAGGATGACATCCACAACAACATCAATATTCATCCACAACAAACACCTGTGAGGTAGTCACCCTCCAGGGGCCAGTTGCTCAAATGCCCGTTAGTTTAACCCTGGGATAAAATTCAAAGCAAATTGTCCATGAATATAAAAATAATATTTGCTGTGTTGGTGTAATGTACTCAGGTGAATAAGATGCTTGTGTAATGTTACTCTGAGTGTATATCCACACCGGGCAGGCTTGAAAAATATGCCCGACCACGGTGGGATTCAAACCTGCGACCTTTGGCAAAGGCATTGGGAGATTTCCTTGGCAGAGCATTGGGCTAGTATTCCTTGGCAGAAGCTAGTATTCCAAACGTTGTAGGTTCAAATCTCACCGTAGCCTGGCATATTTTTCAAGCCTGCTTGGTGTGGATATACACTCAGAGTAACATCACACAATCATCTTATTCACCTGAGTACATTACACCAACAGTCCAACACAGCAAATATCATGATTATTAGATTACATTGATATCGAAGGAACTACTGTAGACTCAGTTCCGAAGTACCGGTATCGCATATTCGAACCGACCTGACCGCGTAGCTCAGTTGGCAGAGCATTGGGCTAGTATTCCAAAGGTCGTAGGTTGGAATCCCACCGTGGCCAGGCGCATATTTTTTAAGCCTGCCCGGTGTGGATATATTATACACTTAGAGTAACATCACACAAGCAATTTAGAAATATTTCTTCAGAAATCTTGTCTGGATGAATGAAAGTTTTCTTCAAAGCTTCGAAGTAAACAGGCATGCAGAAACAGACAAACAAAAACACTAGGTTAAATTTTAACCAAGGATTAGCCTTAGCTTAGAACGACCGACACCACGTCAACCTACAAATATTAGGGCGTATATTTAAAGCTTGGTGAGACAAAAAAGACGACTATATAGACCCAATATATACTGAAGTAAACATATCATTTTACAGTCGACAATCAAATGTTGTAGCCGTAAACTGTAGCAAAATACTGATAACAGTTTTAAACAGAGTTATTTAGTAATATTTCACGACTACATAGCGGATAAATGCAATTTATATTTTATTGACAACCGCCATGTGTTCGAGATCATATTACCATTTCACTAACAAATATTTTAATACATACTTACAGATTTGCATACACAAATTATACCCTGACCCCAGCGTAAATGCAAATTTAATATAAGTGGATTAAAAATTCTTACCTAACAGGAACATTAGGCCCAGATCTTTCAATTTGGCTCTTGGGGAACTGCAGTTTTGAAAATTCGCACGTTGGCAGCACGATGTCGCCAGTAGATTTCATACGGCGCAACCTTTCTTCAATGATAAATTCATCATATTGTTGCCTCAAGAGCGATAATTCCCCTGAAATATGTTCGCTTAGGTTTGCTTGTTGAAAGATTTCGACGAGCTTCCTAACAACATCGACCTTTTTTAAAAGCTTCTATCCTGATAGCATTCGACTCAGGGAACTGACCAATGTAGCTCGTGATGTATTATTCTTTATCCCGTCGCGTCAAGTCGACAAGTATCGAACTTTATTGTTGATCATTTGTATTGCGCAATCAAAACAGAGCCACCGTGGCGCACCGGGGCGCACATGACCACAACTTGCCCTGTGATTGGTTTGCAACGCTGCACCGTGGCAGAAAGTTACTATATTTAGTAACAATTGCGCAATTTTTTGAACGCTGACCGTGGCATCTTGTGGCTGTGACGGCTGCTTCGAATTTACGACTGTTTTCCGAACATATTCGGCACAATTCAGCACGCTTTCGGCGTTTTTTATAGTTCAGTGTTTAACTGGATAATTATACTATTGAACAAGGAATATATTTCGGAAGTTTTTCAGTCCTGCTTTTAGCACGAAATTATTACGAAAGATATTATTCAAATTGTTTGCTATAGACCTATATTTGCTCAATTTTGCTGTATTTCAAATAACTAATATATACTTCTTAAAAATGCGTTATGCAGTCTAATGCAGTATCCAACAAAGGTGAACCCCAGAAAATCCTAGGTGGGAAAAATCTGACCGTGGCTGGAACCACTTTTGCCACGGTCTGGATCCGCGCCTGACTGCTCCCTATGAAGAGATTGTCCCACCCTATGCTCTCAGACCACAATGTTCTCCCATAGCATTCGACGACAATGCTGCAGTATTTTATAACATTGTTTTATTCGATACTGAAACAAATACGATAGGTAAACAAGCAGAATTATGCCAATTGGCAGCTATAAATCAGTCAAGTCTCGCCTCATTTTCCGAGTATGTTTTGCCAAATAAAAATATTGATAAATATGCATCGAGAGCAAACAACCTTTCGACAAAAACTGTTGTCAAAGACGGAAAGAGAGTACTATTTAAACAATCAAATCCTGTATAGGCACTAACCTGTGACGAGGTTTTATCTCGTTTTATCAACTACCTCGAGAATTCCGTTCGCGAATGCCAGAAATTGACAGCACACAAGGTCTGTACAGTTCTTGTTGGGCACAATGCCAAGCGAATTGATGTCCCAGTCATACTTCATAACAGCAACAGCAGTATTATCGCGAATTTTCAGTCTTTGGGCATTTTCTTTGGAGATAGTCTCTCGTTGTTCAAGTATTTAGTAAAAGAATCGATTCTGAAAGATCGAAATGGAGATAACTGTGCGTTAAACCAGTTTGCTGTTTACAAGGCTCTGTTTGATCAATGCTTCGATGCCCACGACGCGCTTGAAGATGTGAAAGCTCTACATCGTATTCTGTTCTCCTCGCCGTTAAACCTTTCGGAAAAAGATCTGATTAAACATTTTCAAGCAATTCCATTTGACGACGCTTACCAGGACAATCTGTATCTAGACCAACGACATCAACTTATCCAGACACTCGACACCAAACTGCATGGAACAATCACCAAAAGCATGGTCCAGAAAATCGCCAGAAGTGGCTTGAGCTTCGCGAATTTACAAAGTCTGTTTGATAAGTTTGGCAGGAATTGACTGATTGGAGTTCTGTTTAGCCCGCCGACAAACAATCGTGGATCCAAAAAGCCAAGAGTGACAAAATCGAAGAGAGTTTTGCTTGCTATCGTGCAATACTTCGAACAAACCGCCAGCGAGCACTAATTCAGTAAATAAAAATGCGATCTGCGAAGAGATGGCGCGCAGACCACCACGCAACACACACGGACATGCGCAGATGCCTTTCTTGTCGAAATGAGATTTCTATTGGCCGCGTAAGTTTTATGAATTTTTCCTATCGCTTAACTTTCATTTCCTTCGGTGAATTTTTTTAGTTTTTTTGTGTATCTAACCAGAAACTCGCGTTTTTGAATATTTCAAAATTTAAAAAAATTCTACAGAGCAGTTTTCTTGGAACTGAAACTTGTCAATATAGAAAACCCTGTCCTACAACTTACCTTTATTCTTTTTATATAATGTTCCGTTTAGTATTCCCAATTTACTTGAAAGTTTTCAAAATTAAAATTTCACCGAAGGAAATTTGATTAATTTCATGTTTTGCCTGATTTTTTAGGACATGACTACCATAGTTAATACGCTGCTGTTACCATAGCAATGCGTGTGTGGTTTATATTAAACTTATAGGTTGGACACATAGTTGCTACATTATCAGGTTTTTCCCCCAAAAGCGCTAAATGTTTCACAAACATGAAGATATCTGTCGCAATGGGAAGAATACATTTTTCTCCTTGTTTTTAAGTAGAACAGTAGGGAGCCACCTAAAGAAACCCGACCTCGTTCCCAGGGGAGAGACAAGAAAGCACTGGTCTGGGCCGGTCAATTTTGCATTCTGATTGGCTAACACCATATTGTCTAAAAATAACTGACTTGACAGTTGACAATAACAATTCAACATTTGTATTTTTATGATTCTTGTGTGTACGAGTATGTTTTGCAAAATAATCTTTCAAAGTAAGACGTTTTCCCGACTGCATGATTTACTTTCGCCTTAGCCGGTTACAAAACACAAAAGTAGTAAGCCGTATCGACGTGAGCCTGACAAAACAAGAAACGTCTACTATTATTTAAGCTGTAGTTTTCCTTGTACAGTATTTATAATGTAATGCAGATGTCTGATGAAATACTACGCGTATTGCATTGTAGTAATATTTTAATTTACAATATTCTATACTGACAAATAAAAGCAAGACAAACAATTAAATGAAACTACTAAATTATTTTAGGCCCTGTTTACTTAATAGTTCTACGCCTAGGCCGATGTAGTCTCTACAAGATTCGTCGCGCCACAGAGTTTTACAGTATCAGAATACCCCGAATACTTGAAAATTGCGATTATACGATTAAATAAAACAAAGACTGTGAAGGGGATAAAATTAGTAGGCAAGAATTGCTCCTGAACGGCAAGTGTTGGTGTCCGGCGAAACAAGCGAATCCGTATATTCCTGTACAGCGTAAACAGGATACGCGAGGTTTTATAATTGTGTTTATTTATATCGAACTAAGTGTGATCTATAAGAGCATATTTAAACTAAACATTAAAGGCAATAGACATATTGTTGAAGACGAGAGAAAGCAAATTTCGTGTGAATCACCACTTGCATGGAGACGCCTAGATGCAGCTTGGATGCAGCTTTGCCTGTCGTTGAAAATCTCCAGAAATATAGGTACATCTTAGAAAACATACACGGGGTCTTCAGAGATTTCAGCTGATTCGTGCCAAACTTCGCTAAACATAAATACTATCGATTGAGAAGTCTTTTGGCTGTTTATTTGTTCCGAAGACTTGTATATTTCATTAAAGAATATCTCGCCACTCCTTGACGAGTAGCTGTCAAATACTGCCATTTTTTGGGTAGTCACGTGACCGGCCCAGACTAGGGCTTTCTCGACTCTCCCCTCGTCCTCATACGAAAGCCCTGGGAACGAGGTTGAAAGAAACCATGCAGGGACCTCGATTCCGGGAGGGCGTTGGGGAGGTGTAACACCCCAATAATTTGCAAGTGCAAAGCGTTGGTCAAACTGGAAAATATTTGATCAAAATTGTTGGTTACTTTTTGAACGCGAATTAGAAAAGATAAAAGTGCGAATGTATCGAAAACCAAATTATACGTATTGGGCAAAGTAGCACGAATCACCGTAAGAAACTAAGAATATAATGTTTGAAAAAATTTCATTCTTGGACGTCCCCACCCCCCGAATCCGTTATTGTCCTTGGTTTTGCGGTATTTCCTTGCTGATCAACGCCGTTTGATAATTGTAAAATAATCGAAAACTATTTATTCAAAATCTTCGATCCCGAAATATTTCATTATTCAGTTCTGGGGAATGATGTAATCATATGTAACAAAGCATTATTGTCTTTATTCTTGACAGCTGGTTATACATCTGCTCCAGGATCATTTATGTTTTCTCTTCGTAATAATGACGACCTTCCGCCTTTCAAGGCACCGCTGAAAGATGAAAATAGCGGGAATGCAATTTACCGTGCAAATTGGCTTGGACCAATATTTGGTGGGGGTCATGACTTGTATATTGCCGACCTTGGTGTATCAAATCAGCTGTCCTACACAAATTTTGGTTATACCTACCAAACTCCCTCTGGGAAAACCAACACAACATCCCTGCTTGCAGGGAGCTATTATTTTACTGCATCAGAAATCGAAGTATTATATTAAATTGAAACTGCTCATGGTTATACTTCAAGGTAAACAATTTTGACAAACAATTAACGATATGCTGTAAATTATCTAATGAATGCATGTACCATCTTATAAATGCCTCACCTCAACACATTGATTCAAATGGCGGCGAGTATTTTGTTCAAAAGCAAGACGTAAAATTAAATGTAATGGCAGCATCCCAATATAAACATATTATTTTTCGGTCAAAACGTAATTGTTATATATTATTATTGTATCAGGATCGAAATGTAACGATTTAAAATTTACGTATTCATTTTATTCCATATATTGGGTTTTTCAAGATTTTTTTTAATTGTCGGCTGGTTCTGGCTTTTGAACACACGTTTAAACTTGGACTTCTGTTTACCCTATTTGCAAAATGCATGACTGCAGGAATAAACTGCAGGGAAGCGTTGTCTAACAGGCGTAATTTTGCTGTATGTCATATGTCTTGTTATGCAATAAACGCCTCCTCCTACAGTATGAAAGGCTCCAGGAGTTTATTAGATCCTTTACAGTATATAGAGTATACTAACCATTTTTCCCCGAGCCGACGACGCGAAGCGCCGTGCGAGAATACTAATTCCGCCCGACTGATTATACCCGGGTATGTGAGACAACATAGCTAGCGATCGAAGTGCAAAGTTGTCCTCCATTTTGTTTATCTCATGGACGGTTTTCGACGTTATGCGCATGCGCGAGTACAAGCTCTGTCTAAGTAATTGTTTTTCATTTTGAAAGGACGTATTTTGCTGTTTTACCGCAATTTTTTTCTTTTAAATTTCGTTAAAAATTTTAACTGGAAATAATCCTGCAATTTCATGAATTAGTGCCTGTTCAACCCAAGGGAGCACACCAGAAATATTTGTGTAAATTTATACTAACCTTTTAATTACATGTATTAAATGTTTTCAATTTTCATCGGGCGCCATTTTGAATGTTGAAAGCGGTATATATTATTAGCTCATCGCAGGCGCAATAATTTATGTTCATCTTTGACAGTAATTTATGTTACACGATGATACTCCGAAGGGCGACCGAGAAAGATCCGAAATTTAAAATAAGGCGGAGAAATAATAAAAAATAAAGAGGGGAGTGAAACGGCCGAACACGTGTTCCACTGATGCTGGTTGACTGTTGCTAGGAACATTTGTTGTTGCTAGGAACAAACCGGAAGCATAATGAGACCTACTATTTCGGGAACCACTGAGTATTTTAAAGAGTCATTGTCAACCACAATGCATTGTGCGCCCAAACCTGCTCGGCGGCCATTTTAAAGGCGGAATAATAGATGTATCGGTTTTCAATCCATAATATATTACTACCATCCTGTGGTTATACTTGCTCATTTTAACTTTTTTATACTAAAATTGCACCAAAGAAATGTTTACAATCGTCATTTGTTGCTATTTGTGACTTCCGAAGGTAAGATGTAACAAATGCATTGTGGTTGACAATGACTCTTTAATATAATATGCTGTAGAACAACAAATATAATATAATATACTGTAGAAAATATTTATTTTTTTTTATTTTCGGATTTACCGTTGTTTTATATTTGACCTACTATAATTAATTCAAGCGAGTCACATTAGAATTTATTATTAAAATTGGGGACAATGGCGAGAGTTTGTATACCAGATAAAGATCGGCTGCTCGTGTTTTAACGTGCTTAAAAGACGACTCATCATATGAGTTCATTGGCGAAGTAATTTTAAAAATAAACATTGTCTAAGCCGAGAAAATCGAAGCAGAAGTTTATGTAAATGAGGACAATTTACAAATCTATTATCCAATCGATTTACATACATTGATTAACATTCATTTCTTTTGAATTTCCTTTATAAATTATTAATACTGCATTTTGTGTCCAGCATTCGCAAATGTTTTTGTTTCTCTGCTGTCGAAAATTCACTGCTGGCGAGCAACGATGCAAATCAATACAAGTTTTGATATATTTCAGATTCGACAGTTCTTGGTCAACGAGCATGGCCAGATAACGAAATTGGATATAGGCATTGTCATTGGCCAATACCCCATCACGTGCTCGGCCGTTTCACTCTCCTCTTTATTTTTTATTATTTCTCCGCCTTATTTTAAATTTCGGATCTTTCTCGGTCGCCCTTCGGAGTATCATCGTGTAACATAAATTAATGTCAAAGATGAACATAAATTATTGCGCCTGCGATGAGCTAATAATATATACCGCTTTCAACATTCAAAATGGCGCCCGATGAAAATTGAAAACATTTAATACATGTAATTAAAAGGTTAGTATAAATTTACACAAATATTTCTGGCGTGCTCCCTTGTTCAACCGTGAAACAAAGTTTGTATTAAATAATTGTTTTGATGTTGATATTTTTAATAATTTAATCGTTGTTGTGCCGGTTTGGGTAAGTGTAAAAACTTTAGTAGTAAAGTTCCATGCCGTATTTGCTTTGTGAAATTCTTAAGCCATTAACTCGATAATTCACAATAAATAATGTGTTTTAATGGAAGCTGATATACATGAAATTGCAGCGAATGTTATCGTTTAACTAGCGCATCAGTTGTGTTTTTGTACATGTGTTTGTTTATAATGGTCTTAAATACTTTATAAATGAAGTTTTTATACTTCATCCGTTAAGAAAGGCGAGGGGTTGCTGCATGTTTGTATTTTCTAGTAGTATAGTAAGCTTTCCACTATATACCTCATACGCAGTCGCTTTATGATTGGGGACATGCATGAACACTATGGTGAAGACGAGCCATATTTAGCGAAAACCCTGCTCTAACTTAACGGAAAGCACAGACCGTTTAAATGTTGTTTTTGGAAATGTAATTTTATTTCTCGTCAGAACAAAATTATTAGACCAATTTTCGCTTAAACGAAGCAGGCTACGGTTCTACTTTTTTCAACATGAGCTCCACCTTTGAACTTACTATATGAGTAAATTCTTAAACACGTCCGAATTTATCATTATGATAAATTCGCGGCACATTTTGAATTTATCAATAGAGTTAATTATAAAACCACAAGCATTGCACAAGGTTTCTTGCTATAAATGCAATGGCACTAAAAGGGAGGCCGGCCGCGCCGGGGTGGGGATTTAAAAAAAATAGCTTTTAAAAAAGTTTTAAAAAGTTTTAAAAGAGTTTTGAAATGCAAGAAAAGTTTAAAAAGTTAGATTTTAAAAAAAGTTAAAAAATTTAAAAAGTTAAAAAATTAGTGGTTAGGGGATAGGGGTTAGGGGTTAGTGGTTAGGGTGGGGGTTGGGGTTAGGGTTAGTGTTAGGTGCCGCGAATGTATTATTATGATAAATTCAAAATTTGCCGCGAATTTATCATAATGATAAATTCGGACGTGTTTAAGAATTTACTCATATAGTAAATTCAAAGGTGGAGCTCATGCTGACTTTTTTTCAAGACTCAGGACTTTCATCAAAATTTTTGTTCTATAGTAATTTTGGATTATTTTACGTTTCGTTTAAGTAATATACACATGCAGCATTCGCTTCCGTGTTGTATGAGATAGACAAACTCAAGGCGGAAGTGGGTGGTTGTATGTCTGCTACAGCACGGACAAAGGATTTTGACAGTTGTGTATTAAGAAATTATTCGAAAAGTCAAGAAAGCGACGAAAAGCTTGATGCAATTCAGGAGAATTTTGAATTTGTGGTACAACACCTCATTAAATATTGAACGTTTTTTAAATCTTCTTCATGATCTATTGATGATTTTACAATACATAATGATTTATCTAATACAGTGACTTACTGTATACCCCCAAAATTTCGGCTATTGCGTATTATATAATAACCTTAAGAATTCATGCGATTTCATTGGTCGAGAGCCATGATCTATTAGAGGACAGACACACGGAAATAACGTCAAAAGTTTTTAAAATGTCTAAAATATTTGACAATTCCACTGAATTTATACAAATTGAATGAATTCATGCAATTAAATCTATAAACAACAATAAATACCTTCGATAAATCTGAAAAAATCACTCACAAAAGCTAGCAACTCGGCAAATCTCAACTCAGCCATTCAGCTGCGACTTCAAAATCCAATCCGGTCTTCCAAAACAAATACTATTTCGGTCATTTGACCCTGTCGATGTCACAGTCTCCAGCTGGTTTCTTCACTTCGTGCACATAGGCAATATTTAAGTGCTTTTCAACTGCCATAGTCGCTAAGAACAAAATAATTGCCTTTTTATCACCTGTTTTTCTTCCTTTAAAACAATGTCTTTCACTGTTTTGAGAAATTTTTAGTTTTTCCTTAGTTATTACCGTCTAGCCCATTCTAAGCTTTAGCTAATCAGAATTCAGCACGTAACTTAAGCGAGCCAATAGCATTTCGTTATTTGCATAGATCATGTACGCGTAAAATTTGCAAAATTTCGACTTCCAAATGTTTGAGGGCGATACAAATAAACTGTTTACCTGTTTTATTCCGGTATTTTTTCAATTTTATTATATAAAACAAATAGATTACATTTTCCCGTTGTCTCTTTAGTTAGAGATACACAGTATGACGTCATATGTGGTAAGAACTTTTTTGTTCTTACCGCATGTGACGTCATACTGTATATCTATAACTGAACAGACAACGGGAAAGTGTAATCTATTTGTTAATTGTGTTTAAGCCATGATAAATATTCTCGTGCATGTTATACTACACAGCTAATTACTAGATAGGCACCAGCCCCGGTTATCCTGAAAAGGAACTCTGTTCACATGACAGTATAAGCGCACAAATTCCTACAGGCTATTCCAATCTATAAAACCATTGAAGCACAATGGATGAGTTTAGTATGCATAAATCATGTAGTAAAAAGAGGCAAAATGCTTATTTCTCGGTTCAATTCCGCCTCTGAAATTTAAAACAAACGTCGTATAATATTTCACTTTTGCGATATCTTGGTTACATGTTAATAACTATATACTGACCGAGAGTGAGGGCAGTACGGGAAAATATCCAACCGAGGACTTGCTGTATTGACCGAGCGATAGCGAGGTCAATACAGCAAGACCGAGATTGGATATTTTCCGTACTGCCCGAATGGTTGGGGGTAGGTATTTTTCGAGTTAAGCCCTTCGAGTTAAGCCTTCCGATTAAGCCCTTTTCGAGTTCAGCTCCTGCCACATCCTTTTTCGCGGGGGGCTTAACTCGAAGTCAATTAACGATTTAAGCATTCGAGTTAAGCCCCGACATTTGGTGGATGTAAACAAGTGACGTGTGTATACTCGCAAAAATGTTGGCAAATAAGGAGGGATTTATTAATTTCAGCATTTTAAGAAATATATTTTACCGAGATCTCTGTTGCTTTGCCTACAGTTCCACTAGGCCTTCTATTTCTTCGCATGCTTCAGGCTTGCGTCCTTCCTCCACCCCGCCCCCAAATCACCTAGTCCCATTCTTTTCATGTGAAAAAGCGCTGAATATTAAAAAAATAAAAATAAAAATAAAAATAAAAGGCCTAGGTCTAGGCTGATATTTGCTATATGTTCGTATTTTCATTCAGTTTCTCTAAGGAAATTTCATTTCACATTTGTGTTTAAAATACCTTTCCGCCATTTTTTTTTTTTTTAGGAAATCATTAATTGTACTGCAGTACAATTAATGGAATAATTGTACTCCTCTCAACCAATCAGCATCCAGTAATGTTGTTATGCTAATAATAAACCTTGTAATTACGACTCTCGCTAACAAAAAACATATTGAGAAAGTTCTTTAACCACAGCAGCCGGCTCCTTTTCTGTATTTTAGGTTACTTTTCTTCCGCGTTTTGAATAGTTTGAAAGACACTGAGACACTTTTTGCTGTTTGAAACTCCGCTCTCGTCGCAGGTTCGCAGCTTCGCAAGGTAATAAAAATTACGTATTGCCCGTGAGCAATAGGGGAAAATCGCGCCTCGTCAGCAGCCAATCAAATTGCGCGATTCATCAAAACAAATGCTTACAATATATTAATAAAAAAAAACCTTATTAACTTATCATGTAACTTCAATTTCTTTCATTGTCTTATTTGCACTTTTTCTTTATTATATTATACATATTCATTTAATATTTTATAGATAATTTGTATACCATGCGTAGATTGTTAAAAATCTAGACATTTGTAGGTTGCATGGCTCGCATACATAAATGTAAGTAGCTAATTTCTTTTTTCTACCGTTGCCAATGTTGGTTGCCAAACTGTCTATTGGAATATATATGAGTCTACGTTTGCACTGTACCTGATAGCCTTCCGTAGCGATGTAAAGAAACACCTACACTGTAAATTTCAAGGACTTGATTCAACACCAAAAACGGTGATCGAATGACACTTTCGGAGTTGATTCAACTCTTTGAAATTTACAGTGCATCCTTACCATTTAGCAACGCTATTTTCAGAGGAATTATTGCAACGGATGTTGTTTCGCTCAGCTTCTGAAAGTTTTACATTGTGTGTCGGATACGGCTAGCTGCTTTTTCTGGGCGCTATGGAAATCTGTATCCGGTATAGCGTAAACGTAGGCTTATACTATATTTGAAACCAGACCCTGTTTGAATAAGTAGAATAAGCTTTATTAAAATAGATTTTAGAATGATTTGCTGTAGATTGTACTCCATTACCAGAAATTGGCGACAAAATTGCCACTGCTTGTATACTAATTTGCATATAATCCATATATACTGTATTTCAGTTATTACCGGGAATATACAGGGTAAAAATATTTGACTCGAAATTATTGCAAGCTGAGAACTCGGATACTGTTTGCCGACCTCTAGTTGATCAATAAAACATTCATTTACTAATGTTTCGATGGCATATTTATTCCGATCGGGTATCTCTCCTAGAGGCCAAATTCTGTTCAAGAAAATCATTTTTATGTCATCTTCGCATGGCTAAACTGCTGTCGATCGATTTTGTTTTGAGATTGTTGACGCTGCATGTTTTGTGACACAATCAACAGTTTATAGGATAATCTATACCACGAGTGTGGAATACCAGATCTTGAGCAATAATGCTTGGTGTTTTGCATCCGATTCAGTAACTACCCGACTAAAATTTTATATAAGAAAATGGTTGTTTTTAAACCTTGTTGTTAATAGTGCAGGCCCAGGCATAGATTAAAGTGTGTCGCTCGGAGAGACACCCGATCCAAATAAATATGCCACCGAAACATTGGCAAATGAATGCTTTATTCTGCACGAGGACGGCAAACAGTAGCGGAGCTCTCAAATTGCCATAATTTCGAGCTAAATATTTTCCCCCTATAACATTCCCTATTAAAAATTGAAAGCCATTGCACATGAATTGTATGCAAATTAATATATATACATTTTGTCGTTAATTTCTGGTAATGCCATCATGACAAAACTTGTACTACTCACTGCTCCTATTCTTTCCCGTCGCATGTTATTTGAAAACAATTTTGTTCATATAATATACAAATAACTGGAAAAATAAAAGAACATGCAGACTGCGGAGTAGAATGGACTTGATTGGTGCTGGTATGTTCAGAATCGTTTGTTTGATTGTTCTTTGAATCAAAGTTATATTGTGTCCAATTAGATAAAAAGAACATTAGCGTAAAAAACATTTATTTAGTTTTAATTTTAGTGTAAACGAACACTGCTTCTACCATTTGCATGCATTATATATCTGAATTTGTGTCTTACACTCGCACAAATAGACAATTACACAGTAGTGTTTAAACATTGTATATAAGAATGTTAATGTTAAATAAATGGGTTAAAAGTAAATGCGTCAAATTCTTCAAATGGTTAATAATTATTCTAAAAATCTCCAGCAATCTATAGTATGAACAGGTTTTGTGATTAGCTAGAAGTACATGCATGTATGCATGCAGAAACACCTCGCTTTGCCAGCAAAACCACACCATTTCCAAAACATGAAGTATTTGAAGTGGTTGTCACGGGAACACCATCACTTTATGTTTTTATATATTTCTTAAATTGAAAACAAAACGGCCTGAAATTATCACTTATAATTTGCAAAATTATCAATCTACCAAATATATACGATAGGTATATTATTATGCGTAATATAAACTTCAATTAAGTTCATATTTCAGTCACATACGATTGGCAAAGCGTTTTAAAAAGTTCATAAAACTAAACTTTATCTAGGACCAGTATATGAGTTTGTATGCGTTTCATTTAGCACAGGTAATCTCCGCCGTTTTATGGTAAAATGACCATGGCGATCAAGATGGCATATGTGCCAAAACCTGAATCCGGGACGAAAGTCCTGACAATGCCCCCGCCCAAAAACGGCAGTGTCGACATAGCTCTAATTTCCGAAAAAGACTAAAAGCGATAGCCTTTCTGAAGTGTTTATAATGTTTAGAAGGGTTGCTTTTAGGAGTGGTCATTGCATGCAAGGAAAAATTTGTCTAAGTTTAATATTTTACAAGAAAATGACAATGCACCACACCAGGTAAATTGCTAATTATGCATAAAATAACTAATATGCCTGACGGAATTTAAATTTTCTTATTTCCTAAAAAAAATTATCATGGGATGATAAACTATGCTTAATTTAATATAATTTATTGTGGATGATAGGGTGTGTGAATATTTTCACAAAATGTTTGTTCGCCACCACAGCTACCTAACTAAATATACTATATTTATTGTATTTTTATGATGTATGATAAAATACGCAAATATTTATTGTTTTTATTATAAATCATAAAAATACAATAAATATAGTGTATTTAGTTAATACACATCCAGAATGCCAAATAACAACGAGAGATGTTTAAAGAGCAAACGTTTTTTATCATTTGCACTGAGCGGCACCTTACTTCATTTCTCTAGTTGCTCTGTTTAGGTCACCTAACTGTACACTAGCAAAGTTCATCGTCTTTAATTCCGTTATACTATTAATTTCAACTGTGCATTGCTTGTCGTACTCTATCCATCTAGTACAAGAATGAATATACCAATGTGTTTCACGACTAATATATTGATTAATGTTCTTTTAAGAGATGTTGCAATCGCCGGTGTATCTTGAAACGGCTTAGTCTTTGCAAGTAGCATGACATAAGAGAAATCTCAAAAAGAAACGTAATTTTCGTTTCTAATTGAATCCGCATGTTAAATGCCAGGACTGATGTAATAACAGCCCACACACCTTCAAGGAGCCGCGAACTTGAAGCTGGAAAGAATAAGATCATTAATTACGTACGTACCGCGGATGCTTCTGTGATGTAATTGTTGGCACTTTTGACTCCGAATCCAATGATCCGAACTCAAGTCCTCGCAGAACCTTATGTCTAACACATTATTTCAGTTTCTGTCACGTTGTTCGATTCACTTCACACGGATATTGGCATTTGTGCCTTTCTGTTGCACTTTTTTGTGCAGACACAGACATGATTCACGACCAATATATTGATTCGTGTTTCTTGACGTGTTTTTGGGACTGGTGTATGATGTGGAAGCGGCTCTGTCTTTAGAAACAAGATTGAAATGAAAAAAAATTCAAAAGGAAACTTTTGTTTATTTATTTGAACTGACTGATACTAATTCAAATACAAAAGTCTCCAAGCTATAAATCGGTTTATTAAGACAGGTAGCGATTTGCGGTTAGAAGAAACCATCATGGCATACCTATTAAAATTTTCGACATATACAATCCAGAAAAATACATTATTTTTCGAAACAATAAGTTTAGTAAATAATATGGATATTAGGACAAATTACATAAAAAAGTTACGATTTTAAGAGAAATATGATACATTGCTTGCACAATTTCTTCTCATAGGATTTGTAAAAATGACTCATTGATCTCATGGAGCAGGGTGGCGCAGAGGAAGCGTGCTTGGCCCATAACCCAGAGGTCAATGGATCGAAACCATCTCCTGCTACTATTATTATTAGCCTAGCGTTTTCCAATCTAGATTTCAGCCTGAATTTTTTTCCGAAACAACAAGTTTCGAACATATAATAAGGAATTGTCGCGACTCGCTCCCGTGGCCCACCCACCGGGCACACGACGTTGTTTCAACGTTGAAATTTGGTAGAAAGAAGGTTCCGACGTCGACAACCTAATATCTACGTTGCTCTGACGTTGTTTTAAAAACATTGGTTCAACAGCAGCCAACAGACGTTGAATCAACGTTCATTCATGGTTAAATGTACGTCGTCGATTTGTGAAGTAATCTCGACGTTGTTTCAACGTTGATTCAACGTTGAATTATGGTTGAGGAGATTGGCAACCTAATTTCAACGTTGTTTCAACGTCGAAACAGTAACGTCGATCCAATTTGCATTATCAATCCTTTTTCAACGTTTATCCAACGTCTGCAAGGTAATTCCCAACGTTGATTCAACGTTGAATAAACGTCATTTTGCCCGCTGGGTTGCAGTTTTTAGCAATGGCTTTCCCTGATCAAGAAAGTAGCGGTAGCAATTCGTCGTATTAATTGACCAAGAGAATATTTACGAAACTTCTTGTTTTGGAAAAAAAGTATGGCAATGTCTGGGTGACATTTGACACACTTGTTACGAGGCTTTATTTAGGTAGTGAATTGTTACAACTTTTGTAATTATTGTTACTAATGTTAATAGTTCTGCTTCACAGTTCTCTTCTCGATAGTCCACTGGAGAGTCCACTGAGAGATCACCCACCGAGTATCCACTGACGAATTTCGGTTGTGCACGCACTTTTATACTAACGGTTGAGGGATCTTTGTACACGTGATGTAGCAAGTGGTGGGATTTGTATCCAGCAAATCAACGTTGAGGTTTAAAAGTGTGGGTTGGCGTTGCTAGCTCGTTCCAGCTCTCACATTCTGTTTATTTAAGGCGTTGTCGCACTTGTCGAGTCGGTTCGCTGTTCAATCGATCAATGTTAAAATATGTACACAACTTAAAATACTCATCAAAATATCATAGTAAAAACTTCAACTTATCTCTATGTGAACCTTACTTTACCTACTAAACTAAATTTACTTACAATTTTATTGAACCAAGATTTTGATGACGTAATGTTATCATTACTCAACCGGGCGAAATATACCGAAGAATGATTGACAGAAAGGCCCTAAGCATGCACATTTTCATGTCAAAGAAGAACCAGCCTTGGACTTTGAATTATGTAAACACAACAGCCCACCATGCAAGGCTATCGTCCAACTTTGACAGTTTGACAAATTATTTATCTTGCCTAATGGACAGATAATTGACACTTTTACACAAGTTCGAAATGATATATACTTTATCTGCGTTTTACAGCAAAAGTGCTCATTATCTCTCCATTTGACGTAACTAATATCTATAATTACCTGCGGTGCAAACTGAACTATTTTTATACTATTTAGATATACTTTCGTAACACACTGAATTGATCTCCGGTTTATCGGCCCAGCACACTCCCTCTGCGCAACCTTACTCCTTCTAATCAACCGGGTGTATATATGTATTCTATGTATCCAGGTATTTAGAAAGCAATATATCATATTTCCCCCTACAGTTGTAAAGAAACAACTGCGTAAAAATAAGGACTTCACAATAACGCAACGTATTTGCTACTTATGTGAAATTGGGATTTTTTGGAAGTATAAACGCTTGCGTAATCTTCATTCAATAAATCCTTTCAACCTGCTTATTATTTTCGTAATTCGTGGTTGTTGAAAATTAAACATTCTGGCGAAAAACCAGATGTGAGAAAGCCAGCATGAGCTCCACCTTTGAATTTACTATATGAGTAAATTCTTAAACATGTCCGAATTTAACATTATGATGAATTCGCGGCACATTTTGAATTTATCATAATAATAAATTCGCGGCACCTAACACTAACACTAACCCCAACCCTAACCACTAACCCCTAACCATTAACCCCTAACCACCAACCCCTAACCACTAACCCCTACCCACTAACCACTAACCCTAACTTTTTTAACTTTTTAAACTTTTCAAACTTTTTTAACTTTTTAAATTTTTTAAACTTTTTTAACTTTTTTAAAAATCTAACTTTTTAAACTTTTTTGCTTTTTAAAGCTCCCCACCCCCGCGCGACCAGCCTTCCTTTTGGTGTCATTACATTTATAACAAGAAGTCTTGTCTAATGCTTGTGGTTTTATGATTAAGAGGAGATTTTTTACAAACTCGCGTATTTGGCGCTCAAAACCAATCAGATTTCCGGAATGCTGAGAAGGCAATAGAACAATGCTGGCAATATGGCGGCGTCGTTTCGTGTTGAGGAGTGTGTCGTTTGAAAATTATGCAGTTTTTAGCACAAATGACAACTGGATGGGGAAATTTTTGATCGATAATTAGTCAATTTAATCTTCAAGAATTAACGAGATGGATTTAACAAGATGAATTCATAATAAACAAAGAATTACAAGCGATGCAATGTTTAGTGGCATTTGTTTTGATTGGACAATCATAGAACCTTGGAAGGTATGGTTGAATTTATACTGATTTTCTAGCCGATAATATGCTTCTGATCAAAGTACAAAATATTAAAAACAAACCTGACATACTAAACTTACAGCAAATCACATATTAACAGAACTAGCGTGTTTGTCCA